GGTGAAGGCACTCTGGGTGGCCTGGGGACAGCAGGAGCTCCAGGTGGGGATTGCAGCCCCAGCTCTGTGCCCCAGCAGGTCCCCGCGCCGGCACCGCTCCAGCTCCTCGTCACCAGCACGGCCCAAGGAGCGCCGGGACGAGGAGAAGAAGGAGCTCAAGGACTCCAAGAAGGAGCGGCAGATCACAGGTGAGGGGGGATCTCCCTCTTGGAGCACCCCTGGGTGTCCCCCTGGGCCGGGACCAGCCCAGGGACACCTGGATTTTTGGGCATCCCAACATCCGTGTTTGCTCAATCCCCAATTTTCTCCCCACAGAGGAGGACTTGCAGGGCAAGACAGAGGAGGAGATCGAGATGATGAAGATGATGGGGTTTGCCTCCTTTGATACCACCAAGGTGAGCGCCACTCCAGGGGCTCTGCGGTGTCAGCTGCCCTTTTTGGGGGTAATCCATGGGATTTTGGGGCGTTTCTCCTTAGGGCAAGAAGGTGGATGGTGCTGCCAATGCCTACGCCATCAACGTGTCCCAGAAGAGGAAGTACAGGTGTGTGTCCTGCTTTGGGATGGAGAGAGGAGTTTGTTTGGTGAGGTAGCTGTGGCCACAGTCTCGCCCTGATCCAGCTTCCAGGGAAAATGGAAATTTGGTGAGGTTTAGACTCAGAAACAGAGGTGAGAGCTCTCCAGATCCCCCTGGGAATGGGGAAATCAGGAGAATAAGGAGTGAGGAGCACCTTAGGAACCGTTGGGATGTTCCCAGCAAGGATCAGAGCAGAGGGAAGTGACACTGCTCGCCTGCTTTGTCCCCAAAAACCACCCAGATTGTCAATTCTGCTCCCTTTCTGCTGGAACCTGGGCTCCTCTGCAGCAGCTCCTTGCTGGGAGCCTTCCTGCCCTGCTTTTGCTCAAATCCCTGGGGAATTGGGTTCCCATGTGGGTTCCTCTGGGTGTTTTTGTCCCGATTTCCCCAGATTTGGGGCTGACTCTGGCTCCATCCTCGCCCAGGCAATACATGAACAGGAAAGGAGGATTCAACAGGCCCCTGGATTTCATCGCCTGACGCTGGCACAGGCTCCCACCATGGAAGGATTTCTCTTCCCTGCACTCTCCTGGGTGGCTCCTGTGCTGGATTCCAGAGGAATTTGGGTTATTCCCAACAAATCCCACGCCCAGACCCGCCACGAGTTCCCAGATATTTGTTTGTTGTTTTTTTTTTTTTTACAACAAAGGTCAGTTTCTGGCTGGGATTTTTGCTGTGTTCTCTCCAGTTTTGGTTTGTTTCCCTGTTAATAAAACCCCGGATGTATTTTTTCCTTCAATTTTTATCATTCAGAGATAAAGCAGGGCCTGCATTCCCCCCTTCCCACAAATCCTTGGGGTTGACACGGATTTTGGGGAGCCCACATGGGGGCAGTGGGATTGGGGTGCTCTGGGTTTTGGGAGGGGATCTGGGTGCTCTGAGCCCTGCCTGGGGTTGGGGGTGGTTCTTGATTTGGGGGTCCCTACACAGGGGGACCCTGCCCAGGGGGTCTCTGTCCCCATGCCGGGGTCCCTGTCCCTGGGTTCTC